GTGCGGTTGGCGCAGGATAGAGCAGGGTTTAGGGCTGCTGTGCATAGGGTCGCTATGAGTCGGAAACGACTTGACGGCACATAACAACAACAACAACAACCAAAAGCAATGTACACATTTAACACAATCCCAATAGAGATACCATGTTCCTTTTTCAAATAAAAACCAAATGTAATTGGCAAGTTTATTTGGAGAGGAAAGAGACCCTGAATAAGCAAAGCACTTCTGAAAACAAAGAATGAAGTGGGAGGCATAGGACTCTTTGATCTTAAAACCTACTACTTACTACATATCTGTAATAAACAAAACAACATGGTATTAGCACAATGACAGGTTGATCATAGAATTGAGAACCCAGAAATTAACCCATGTATCTATGTTCAACTTATATTTGACAAGAAAACAAAACAAAACATATCAAGTGGGAAAACAACAATATCTTCAACAAATAGTGCTGGCAAAACTGGCAAAACCTTAAGAGAACTGAAACAAAATGAGCATCTCTCACCATACACAAAAAACAACTCAAGGTGGATGAGACACCTAAGGATAAAGCCCCAAACCATAAGATGTGGGACCAAGCTTAGAAGGCCTATCTCATAGAATAAAGAGACTGAAAAATACAGCCAGAAATACACAATTAGGAGAGACTAAAATTGACAAATGAGATCTTCATTTAGTCACTGTGCACATCAAAAACTTTTTCCAACAGGGTGAAAAGAAAACTTACTGACTCAGACAAGGGTCTCATAACAAAAGCTTACAGAATCCTACAGGGCCTCCAGAAGAAAAAGACTGATAATTCAATTACAAAAAAGATTTTTCACAGAAGACGACATTTACATCATCAACAGATACGTAAAGAAATGCTCAAAATCACTGGCAATAAAAGAGATGCAAATCAAATGAAATACCATCTCACTCCAATAGCAGTGGCAAAGTTTAACAGGACAGTAAGCAATAAGTACTTGAGAGGCTGCAGAGAGACAGGAACTATCTTATATTGCTAGTGGGATTGTAAAATGGCACCACCACCCTGGAAGGCAGTTTGGCATTTCCTCAAAAAGCTAAACATTGAAATTCCATATGACCCAGCTATTGTACTGCTTGGAATATACTCTTAGAAAGTTAGAACTGAGACACAGAGATCTGTATACTAATGCTCATAGCAGCATTATTCACCACCACAAGAACATGAAAACATCCCAAATGTACAACCATAATCAAATTGATTGGGAAACTGTAGTTAAGTCACACGATGGAATTCTACACAGCATTTAGGAACAATGATTTTGAAAATTACTATATAACTTGGGAAAGACTGGAGGGCATTATGCTGAGTGAACTAACTCACTTTCATAATGACAAATACTGCCTAAATCCATTATTGTAGAAATAGATAACTAGTAAACCGTGTATGAAGTTCTAAGTCGTGGGAGGAGATGGAAGGAAAGGCTGAGAATAGGCAGGGAAGAAATCACACAGACACATAATTTGGTGGGTGGAAGGAGGGAGTGGTAAAGGAAATAAGAAAGACTGGCAGGGATCTGGAAACAGGTTGTGCATAGTTCAACAATAATTAATTTTATAAAATATAATGAATGGGAATGATTGTATGAAACTCTATGTGAATGAAAGATAGTGTAAAACACGATATATACGAACTTTGTAAGCAAACCAATGTAATTTTTTTAAATGACCATTTACATAACAGTGTGATATGGGGATTTTCAAGAAGATCATCAACAATCTGCATTATATAGATGACACAATGTTGCTTGTAGAAAATGAAGAAGACTTGCTGAAGAAGATTAAAGATTGAAACCTTAATACAAATTATATCTCAGCATTATCAAAGCAAACAAAATCCTCTGCACTGGAGAAGCTGGCAACATGATAGTAAAGACTGAGGTTGCCCATGATTTCATTTCACTTGGATTCACAATCAAAACCCATGGTAGCAGCAGTCAATAATTCAAAAATATGTTGTACTGGAGAAAATCTGCTGTCAAGGACCTCTTTAAAATACTAAATAACAAGGATGTCCATTAAAGACTAAGGTGCACCTAATTCAAACCATGGTCTTTTCAATTGCTTCATATGCATCTGAAGATGGACAGGAAATAATAGAAGATCAAAGAAAATTGATGTCTTTGAATTGTGGTGTTAATGAAAATTATTGAGAGTTCCAGTTTTTCTGACTCCCAAACGCCTATCCTTCTCCCATTTCACAATGTTTCTATGCATATGGTAAACTTTATGTATTTATTTTATCGTTATGTGCATGAATGTTTGCAAAGCAACTGGTTTTCCACTCACTCATTAATACATATTTTGTTTTATAGCATTAATTACAATATCCAGCGTATTGAGCACATGGACTGCTAAAAGAACCAACAAATCGGACTCAGAGGAAGAGCAGCCAGGGTGCTCCTTCAGTTATGCTGTCAGTTATGGAGTTAGACCTTGAAAAAACTATATCAACCTAGGAAAAGTGAAGTAGAGGAAGACCTTAAATGAGAGGAATTATATAGTGATTATAACAGTGGGCTTGAGCATGGCATTGTGATGATGGCACCTTTCAGGGCAAGGTTCTTATTTGTTGTTCATAAGGTTGCAATGAGCTGTAGTTGACTTGGTGGCTCCTAACAGTACACATGGAAAATAAAAGAAATATTTTCTTTCAACTGAGATCCAAAGCCAAATAGATTATATATTTAAAACATCAATTATCAACTAAAAGCCATTTTCAATCTCAAATTCGTACTCATTCTAGGCCTAACATAATTTTATAGATTTGGAATTCCATGTTTTCCCATTTGGAATTTCCAGTTCTAACTCTCTGGACTGATATGAATGTTTGTGCATCTTTGTATTTGTATGTGGTCAAGCTAAAAGAAAATGATGGAAAATTATTTGTAATTTTGACCTTTATAGTGCTTAAGACAAAGTTGACCAGGTAAGCAAATCATTATAAATGTGCCACGTAAAATAATTGACCAGCCAGCATTTTATTCCCTAAATGTCCATGGCAAATACCATCTGCCACAATGAAAATGAACGTCAGGGAGAAAATGCCTGTAGTGTTTTGGTTTTGAGGTTTTTCATGGGCCTCTTAAGAATATTAACTCACAGAAATAATACAATGAGATTCTTCCCCACAACGTGGCACAGGATATAAACTTGCTCCCAGTGACACCTGATTGAGAGAAAAAACAGGTCCACAGCAGTGACCCTTTCTGTCTTTACCTTAGAGCTTTGACGGCCTACTGGCTATTGCTGTTGCTGTTGTGTGCTGTCAAGTCCAAACCAATCCATAGCTGATCCTCCAGTAGGTTTTCAGAAGAGAATTTAAATCGCCAATCCAAGGGCAGGTGGCTCAAATCCACCAGTTGCTTATGAAGGAGAAAGATGTATAATCTCCTCCCATGTGATTTACAGCTTCTGAAAACTTTAGGGCGGCTCAGCTATGAGCAAGGTTGGATTCAAAGGCACAATAACCACGACCTGTGTACTTACCTGGCAGGTAGCTGCACAGTCGCTCCATGGCAGCCTGGACCGTAGAGTTGTGCACCTGAGCAAGCTGTTCAATGATGGACACCACCAGGACACACCCTGCAAGAGGACAAAGACCGTGTCAACAATGGCACTGGAAAAATCACTGCTGTTGGCTCAAAGAAAGGGTGTGAGTATGTGTGTTCGCGTGCACAGAAACATGAATCTGTGATTTTCATATTGATTCTAACACCAATTCATGGCGACCCCACAAGTGTCAGAGAAGCACAGCAGGGCCGCTCCCGCTGCTGAGCAACAGGGCGCTCTGGCTAATTTTCTCCACGCGGGTTTCCGGCCACAAAAGGACATCGTCACTGTTGTTATGAGGCGTGGAGTTGGAACCGACTCACAGCTGACCCTCCAGCGGGTTTCTAGAGGCTGTAAATCGCACAGGTGAAGAATATCCATCTTCCTCCCGCGGAGCCGTTGGTGGATTCGTATCGCGTGCCTTCTGATTGGTGGCACAACTCTTACCATTTAGCTTTCCAAACCTGAGAACTCCTATTGGCTGTTTACCTTTTCAAATGCACCGTATGAATTACCGGGAAGATGTAGGAAGAGTACAATTACACTTGTGGATATTGTTATGAAAGTCATAAAACAAAAATGTGGGTCGATTGCTAATGTGATTTGTAAACATTCTCTTAAATCACAATAAAACAATTAAACTTTACTATTTGCACACACACACAAAACAACCTGTGAGTTGTTGTGAAATGTGAAGAATGAGAGCAATGTGAGTATGAGAGTCAGAAAGACTCAGGATTTCCATCCAGTTTTGCTACTTATGAACTAAGTGACTTTGGGGAGGGAATTTAATCTTGCTTAATCTCAGCCACACTGCAGAAAGAGATGATGTTTAAATGAGATGTTATAAGGGGGAACAGCCAGCACAGAACTAAAGTTCAACAGATTTATTTTATTTCTTTCATTAACTTTTTCTCTATTCTGTGATAGATGGCTTATTTATAAAAGGTTCATTCTTATTGTGTATTTTCTCAGAATGTGAAGAATAAACACAATGTAATGAATGTCTAAAAAAAGCCTTAGATTAAGTTAGGAATATGTTGCTTCAGTGCCTGAGCACATGCTAAGTGTGAAGACCAGTGGCTACACCTGCATTCCTTCCAGGTATTATCACCTCTTTTCCAAAAGGCAAATATTTATTGTCATCCAGAGGGAGTTGCTCTGCTAACCAGAAGGTAAGCCTTGTTGGTGATTTGAAGACACCAGGAGCTTTGAGGGTCAATGGTGAACAATCTCCTCTTGTATGATTTATAGCCTAAGAAATCCACTGGAGCATCAACTATGAATCAGTTTTGATTCAGGCAACGAATGAGCAAGTAATACAAAACTGGTTGGTCACCCATCTACAAATAAATGGATAGAAAGACCGCGGTACAGTCATTCAATGGAATATTACACAGAGTTGAAAAACAATGAACTTGTAAAACATTACACAACATGGGTGAACCTGAAGGATATTATGCAGGGTGGAATATCTGCTGTTAATAGGACTGAAGCAGAGGTTTTAGGCAAGAATGGGAAAAGAGTGGATAGATAATGAACACTGCACTGAAACAGATGAGGAGAAGAATGGTCTGATAGGAATATATGATTAAGTATCAGATGAGGCGAATCTTCCATCTATCATCACTTTACCTAATAAATAGCTTTGATCACAAGGGTTCTGCACAGGAAGGGGCTTGAAATTGTATACACCCAGGTTGGTCTGTACTTGACTTGGAGTCCTGCTAGTGGACTAGCCCTGCTCATCTGCAGTCAGTTCAACTCCTCTTCCACCATATTTTTAATTTAGGGGATGCAGCGAGCCATATCTTGTCTCATTTAGCAATGATAATGGAGAAACTGGCTTTTCAACAATGCCTAATAAGAGATTTCACTATCTTGGCAGGCTAATGAATGTTTTCTCTGGGAGTGTTGCAAGGACAGAGGGTTTCAAACCAGTTCATGCCTGTTCAATCATGTCTAACAAAGTATAAAAAGAACAAACATGAATTTCTAAAATATGAGTGAATCAGGATGGTCACTGAAGTGGAAAAATATTTGTTAGTGCCCCTCTAGAGACTGAATCTCCCTTTTAGAAAGCAATGGCAAAGTGTAAGCTGTTGTTGTTGTTGTTATGTGCCGTCGAGTCGTTTCCGACTACATAACAAAAAAAATCTCTTGACCATCAGAGTAAGAAAAAAAAAAATGTTGTCCTGTTTCAGCTGTGATGCCAATCTGAAGGCATTCAGTTTGAATTCACCAGCTGCTCCGTGGGAGAAAGATGGGTAATCTTCTGTGAATTCATCATTGCCTCTTGAAACCTGCTGAAGGGTCAGCTATGGGTTGGTTCTGACTCAATGGTACATAACAACAACACCAGCAACCAAATGATGGTGTCCGGTGACATAATTTTCAATGTGTATCAGTCTCTACAGTCTGGCAATAATCTAATTTTCTACTTCGGTCTCCCTTGTTATGTATCATCAAGTTGGAACCAATCCATAGCTAACCCTCCAGCTGGTTTTCAGAAGCAGTAAATCATATGTGAGAAGACCGCCCATTTTTCTGAAGACTCAGGTTGGCAGCACAATTCCTTTCCCGTAGGCCACCAAAGCCCCTACCTGCTCCTCTAAGGGCTGACTATGCGTCTTTCAAGTTTCACATTCTAGGTCTTTGACAACTAATTTTTCCCATTTTTATTATTGTTCTGGTGCACCCACATTTTACTAAGTAAGTCAGTTCCGTCATATTTTCACTGAGTTAGCCATGAACTGGCTCAAAAATCATTTCAAGCCCTGCTTCCTGGTATATTCTCTGTTAGTAAAAGTCAATAAATGGAACTTGTTTAAGCTGATGCTCAGTTAGGCAGCAATGGAAGTGAAAGAGCTGTGCATTTTGTTCAGTGCTCACCATATGAAGTTTTGCCTCTGGACAAACACTCCTTACATGGCCTCTGAAAATAAGGGATGGAGTAAAAAGAGATACTTCAGATATGGTGGTACCTGTTAGGTGCTGTCATGTTGAGTTCTGTGAACATGGCAACCCTATGAACAATAGACCTGAACCCTGTCCTATCCTGTGCACAATCTTTGACACACTTGAGCTCATTGCTGAAATCACTGTGAATTCACATGGTTGAGGGATTCCTATTGTTTGTCATCCTTCCAACTTCCCAAATACGAGAACAAAGTAAATAAAATGAATGGTTCCTGACACAGGAATCTGCTTCTGGCTACAAACATCAGGTGGGCTGCAAAAAGTGCCATGGAATCTCTCTTGAAATGAAACAGAACTCTTGAAACTCTACTTATAATTCTATCTGTGCTGGCAGGAAATGCAGCCAACTGCAGCAAGAGGTCTATTAACTGTCCCATTCGTCTGCAGTGCACACTGCACTGAAATGCTGTGGAAACACCTGGTAGCTGTCAGAACTCCAGCCTGCATGCCTGCCATTTCCTTTCTGACCCGGAGGAGGGTATTAATAATTCATTGAGTTACTGGAGTGTGTGCTGCCCTCTTCAAAGTGTCTTTGCATATATTATCTCATTCAAACATCAAAACAACTCACAGCTGTAGAAATTATTACTCTCATTTTGCAGATAAGCAAATGGAGATTCTGAGAGGTAACATGCTTTCCCAAATAGGAAGCTTTTCAAAGGGGAGCTGGGATTTGAACACAGTACTTCTTGAGTTCTTTGTATGCACCACGCAAGTTCAAAACCAAACTGATACAATTCCTGTTCTCTTAGAGTTTAGAATCTTTAAGAAGACAATAAATAAGTGAGAAATAAGTATGAATAATGTTAGGTGCTATGGATAAAATAAACAGTGAGAGGTAACATAGGGTTGTTGCTGTTGTTATGTGGCGTCAGGTTAACTATAACTCACAGCGACTCTATGTACAATAGCTCTGAAGCCTACTCTACTTTTTTTTTACTTCTTTTTTTGTTTTATTATTATTTTTTGTGTGTGTACCATCAAATTTGATCTGACTGGTACAGGATGAGATTGCCCGTGCTTCTTCAGCAGAGCGATTGGAGCGCAGCTTCTTGCCACCAGGCCACCAGTGCTCTCTTTGAAGTCTGCTCTATCCTGAGCCAATCTCACGGTCTCTGACACACACTCATTACCCCTGTTACTGTGTCAATCCATCTCATCTGGGGTCTTCCTCTCCTGTGCTATCCCTCCACCCTTCCAAGCATTACCCTCTAACATAGGGTAATGATGAAAAATAGGATAGAAATATTTTCAATATTTCTATTTAATATTTCTGAAGCTTATAGAAAAACTTTTCTGAATAATCTGGAAAAAGAACCAATTTATTGAGGAGAGAGCAGTATAAAGAACTGGGGTGGGACTTCATAGGAAGGGTCAAATGTTACTCATTTCATGGCACTGAGACTGGAAAAGCCTTGACACCAGAGTCTATTAGTAGGAGTTGAAGTTTAAGAATAGACAGAGGCTGGATTTGTAGGCTTTGTAGGTAGAATTTATCCTGAGGGTAAACGAGGCCACGGATTGATTTGAAAAAAACAAACCAACAAACCAACAAAAAACTAATCTGTGTCTTTAAAGTATACATTATAATGTCACTTAACAATTCTTCTCCTAAGTATATACCAGAACTAAAAGAAGGGGCTCAAACAGATACTCGTACTTCAATGTCTACTGTCATATTTTCCACAATAGTCCAAAGGTGGAAACAACCTAAATGCCGTAAATGAACAAATGAACAAAATATGGCCCATACTTTCAATGTTAGATTACTCCATCATAAAGAGACAAAAATCCTAATGCAAACTACATGCTCATGTTCATCATGATATTTCCAAGGAGAAGCTTGGGAAACATTGTAATTCAGCATGATTGCAGTATTGATTACTGTTGTTGTTGTGTACCATAGAGTCATAACCAACCCCGGAGCTGACCATCTAGTGGGTTTTCAAAGGCAGTTAATTGCATGGGAGGAGATTACCCAACCGTTGTCCAAGGAGCAGCTGGTAGCCTCGAACTGTGTGCCTTGGGGATTGCAGTGCAGCTAGGCCACTAGCATTCCCTCTTGGAAACATTGTAATGAGTGAAACAAGTTAGGCATAGAAGGACAAATGTATAACTCCCACTTACATGAAAAGAAATAGCAAATATGTGGAGATAAAAGTTCAAGGATAATTACCAGAGATAAGTGGGAGAGAGAAAAAGGGGCTTCACTGCTGAGAGAACATGAACTTCTGTGAAGAATGGTAGAAAATTTAGACACAGATCAAGGCATTGGTTACACAGCCATGACTAATGTCATTGAA